AAACCCTAAACTCTAAACCCTATTGTTGGCGGCCTCAGGATCCACATCCTTCTCAGTCTCCAGCAGCGCACGCCGGGATGCGGCGCCTGCCAGGCCAGCTGTCAAGGCTTCCCAGGGTTCCGGTTTAGGGTTTAGGGTTATATGGGGGTCATATGGGGGTTATTTGGGGGTTATGTGGGAGCTTTATATGGGTTATATGGGTCATTACGTACAGGGTAGCCTAGAAGGATTGGTTGGCTGAGTTTTTTGGAACTGCGCTTCTTTTCGGGCCCGTTTTGGGATGTAGTATCTTGGACATACATGGGCAGGGTGAAAAATCTCGAGTAATCTTGAGAGATACGCTTGTCATCGTGGTCCTCACCGTCACCATCATCAACACCAGCAAGTATGCTCATGCACGCAGTTACTGCTATTCTTTTGCGAGCCATCAACACCCCGTCGAAATCCGAAATCCGAAATCCTGGTGCCTTAAGTCAACTCCAAACTCAACACGCGCAGTACCCTAAACCCTAAACCACGAACGACCTCTTACTTAGCTGCCAAAGCACCGTGAGGCTCTGAGAGCTCTGACAGAAAGTCCGGAGCCGACTCCTTAGCTTCAGCTCTCGGATGTCGGGCAAACCCTTTTCGAGGGAGCCTATGGCCCTTGGCACAAATGTAGAGGCTCCAGCATAAGCCTACGGTATATATAATTTTGGGGTTCTATTGGGTGTATATTGGGATAATGGAAAACAAAATGGAAACTACTATAGAGCCTACGGGATATATAACAGGTTTCCCTACTATAATGGAGAATCAAATGGAAAAGAAAATGGAAAATGAAATGGAAACTGAGATTATATAGGGGATTACAGGGATTCTTGATGGTTGCATGGAAGCTTTTCTGAACCTTTATTGGCAGCCCAGAGACTCTCCAAGACAAGGAGACGAAGAACTCGCAGAGAACAATTTGCCATGCTAGCCTCGTTGCGCTCATGCACGTCGACACTATTGGGGTTATTATATAGGGGTTATTTTGGGGTTGTATAAGGGTTGTATTGGGATAATGGACAAGAGAAGGGAAACTACTATAGTATGTTGGGGTTATATATATATATACTCCTTCGACATATGTCTGGAAGCTCCGTCCTTCGAAGCATGGAATGCCCGGCTCAAAGGGTGGATAAGAATTCCAGTCCTGCGAAGAGGATGCAGCTGGTCATGGCAATAACCCCAAGAAAACACAAGCTCACCATCAGGTTCTGTGGAAGGAGTCTATATGTATATAATCCCAATATACTATAATAGTTTCCATTTTCTTTTTCATCATCCCAACATAACCCTTATATAGCCCCAAGATAACCCGCGTGTCAAACACCCTGAGGGATTCCTCACGCAGCAGCGCGGGATGGCGGCAGACAACGGCCAAACCTCAAGGTTTGACGGGAAGACTGACAAAGAGCAAGCTTCAATTGCACACATGTGAAGGTGACTAGGGCCGCAACTTTCGAATGTTCAAGTTCATTGGAATTCGGGGTTCCCTGACCCAGAAAACTTGACTTGAGCCAGTGCCAGCAAACAAGCTTTGCATGCTGCGTGTCAGGAAATGATACACACAAACGATGCAGCTACCGCATGTCTCTGAAAACGCAAATGCGAATCCAACAAATGCAAAACACCGGCATGCATGGTTTTGTCTCGCAACCGAGACCGAACAGGTCTGCAGGACAAGGCAAAGTGGTCAAGGCCGAACACACCTTTGGCTGGTGAAGGCCCTTGCCATCCTATTAATTGCGGATTAAGCTGCGCAGCTGCAACGCGCTGGCATCAGAACTATGAGAAAGTGGATTGAAACGGAACACAATCTGTACAAGCCAAGTCAATGCTCTTGCATTCAAGCTTCGGCTTCATTGCGAAAGTCTAGCTGCAGGATGTGCCATGTCCCTGCACTGTGCAGTGCAGTCATGGCCCGACTTCATAATATTCAGGCCAAAACACAAGCTAAGTTCGCGAAGTGTGTACACTTAAATGTTTGTGCTGACCCATGCTCGTTCATAAGGCATCCCTGTTGAATTCGATGCAGGCGGCCGTCCTGAATTATGTTGCGGGAAAGGAGCGAACCCATGCCCGAGTCCCGACGCAGAATCCAGCTGGATTCTTCTAGGGCAGCAAATGGCAGCACAATTGACTTGCCTTACAGCGCCGCATCATTGAACTACTGCCAAGGGCTGTTTCATGGCCAAATCACTCACATTTTGCAGCTGGCTCATCCGTCCTCATGGAAAAAAAAAGCCATCCATATCTCTCAAGGTCCAAAAAGCCAACATGTAGGCTCGTTTTGCAAAGCAGCAGTAAATGCTGTCGTGATTCGATTCGAGCGAGTTTTGCTGTCGATCTGCTAACTCACCTGTTCTGCACTTGCCCTGGAGCACGATTCGTTCTGGCACATGCATGCCCATGCCTGACCATCAGTACCTCTACCAGTGTAGTCGACCCGAAAGCCGCCCATGATGGAATCTACAACCAGGAGCGAAAAGCCTTGCCAACAACAGGACATGCCGTCCAATGATCAAGCACGGGGCTTACATAGATCCCTTCTCAGAGGGATAAACGAGTAACGGTGTTTGTCATTGACCATGCGGCTGGCCGCTTCCAGCAGCAGCCTTGCAAAGTGGCCCGAGGTATAGCAGCCGGCATACACGATGTTCTCCATCGCCATCTGACAAGTGTTAAGTGGTTCACCGATGCACAACACGTGGAAAATGGGAGGATGACTGAAACGAATGGCATGAGGCCCTGCCTCAGTAAAATCGACCTTGCCATCAGCCATCTGGCGAAACCGTTCCGGTTGAAACGTGCCTTCAGTGTCGATGTACACAACCTAAGAAACACAAAGCTTTTGTACCCCATGCTCTCAACTCAAAGCACTGCAGACTGCCACAAACTGCAAGGCGGCTGAGAGATTCGCCTTTCCCTTTGCCCTGCCCGTGTTCGGAGGCAGTTGAGCCATAGCTTGCATCTTGTCACGCCTGCAGTGATTGTATAGTTTCTATTTTATTTTCCATTATCCCAAAATTACCCCAATATACCCCGATATAATCTCTACAGTAATGCAGGTGATGAGACGGATTGCAAAACATCTTGGCCTGAATTCATCCCAAAGCTCAGTCATTGGGCAGCTTTCCAGGCCACCACCCAGCCTTAATTAAGAGCTGCTTGCCTAATTGAGTTCCATGATTTCTGGTGCCAACACTATTAGGGTTATTTAGGGTTATATGGGGGACATATCGGGGTTATAGATTGGGATCATGGAAGAGAAAATGAAAACTACTATTTAGATTATATACGCATTTGCCAACAGCAGCTCAGGCACCTGAAGTCTTCAGATCTGCCAGGGGGAGCCTGGCATGCCCTCAAGACACCACTATGGGCTGGTAGACCCTAAAATTCCCTATTAGGACCCTTATTAGGGGGTAGATTAAGGTACCCTTAAGGTCTAATAGCCCATAGCGACAAGGCTTCGGCCCCTTCCCTCAATACAGAGCCTCCCGTAAATTTCGCGCCGCCTCGATGATCTTGTCATGCTTTCAAAGTGCTGCAGACACATGTGCTCAACCATGAAACGCTGGAACAAATGCTTCGGGGACCTTCTGGTCAGAGAGGCCCTTGGTGTTCGGCAGGCCCTTCTGCATCGCAACAGCGAGTGACCTGAAGACAATGCAAAGGCTAAAACCTCCATCTGAGACCGCAAAAACAAACGCGATGGCTAGTGCCGCACCGCCTTGCGCTGTAGCCAGCCTGTGCCCACAGGGGAATCCAAACAGGAATGCACATCCAAATCGTGTTCTGTAGCCACTCTAGTCCTTTTGGGATAGCTGCTTGGTCTAACGACCTCAGGCACTGGCATCCGTCAGCTTCTTAAGGTCAGCGGCATTGATACCAGCATCCTGATCCGAGTACCAGTTTTCAGTGTCCATGCAAGGCAGTCAGAAGCACCTGAATCTTGTCGATGAGGCTGTAGCGCAACTCCTCCTCCTTGCACACATCCTCCTGTCATATACATACGTGGTGTGAATTGAAGCACTAGGCTGAGACACGATGTGCAATCACCAGTATGCCTCATCAAGTGGGCTTGCGGCGCAAATCCTACACGCCTGACTCCCATACCTGTCCTCTCTGCCTGGACGTTTTGATCGCAGTGCTCGCGGGCTAGCAACTCAAGCTTCCAATAACGTCGCCAGGGACAGGACTGAAAAGGGGGACGTTCAACGGAAACGAGATCCATTCACAAGTATAAAATAACCATAGCATAGTGGCAGCAGTCTTGATTAGCATCACAGCTTTTCAGTGAGCAGGCGGTGCAATGTTCTGTCCAGACTGGGGAAAAGCCTTGTCCAAGTCAAGATATTGTGATGGAATATTTGGATTGGACGAAAAGCCTCACAAAACGCTTTACAAGTTCACTTAGACTCTTCCGCTTGGACCTCATGCCAGCCTCCGGTTTGCACAGGTGGCCCTCCGGAAACCATTGCAGTCGGTCGCGGGGTATCGAAGTTAGTGTCATCCTGCGTTTAGGGGTTAGATGGGGTTAGGGTTGAAGGTATCCGCCATTTCCACCTTTCCAGCTTGAGGGCTTTGGTTTGAGCCTCTACGTGGTCACTGTAGCCTTCGACACCTCTGCGAAACCTTCGGCACCAAGTCGTCAACCAATTCGGACGGTTCTTGTGCCGGCGCCAGACCTTCTGATGCTGATGCTTGCCGATGGAAGATGCTGGAATCAGAAGGCTGAAACTTGTTTCTGCGCTGTTGCGAACCCTGGATATGCAATCCTCTAACCCCCAAAACACCCGAGACCATAGATAGAGGCTGCCATTAAATGCCTCGGCCCCATCCTCCGAGAGTTTCACCCGACAATCCTATGTTTAGGTTTAAAGACCTAAACGTAAAACCCCAAAACGCTTAGACCTTAGAAGCGCTTAAATGCCCTAAACCCCAAGTCTCCTAACCATGAAATCAAAGACCAATTGACCACTGCAAGCCCAGACCCTAAAACTGCGACCCCCCCCCATTTGCCCGCGCGAAATCCCTGCTCATTGGAGTGTGCTGTGTATAGCAGTGTCTTGGTGGCTGTTGATGTGGTCGAAGTGAACGTTATCATGGGTGCCGGCATGGGCCCACTTGTTGTGGATGCGGTCGTGGAAGACGGTTTCATGGGTCTGGGCATTAATTCGCTAGTATCTTGTTTCGCTGTAAAGAGCAATAATCTTGCAGCTGTGGAAGTATTTGAGGGGCTGTGCCCAGGGGCGGGCAACGCAGGCAGCATGAAGAGGGAGCCGTGCAGCGGTCAGCGATTCAGTGCTCAACCTATTTTCTTGGTGCCCTCCCAAAACACCCAGATGTGGCCCAAACCCAGGTTCTCGGGCCGAGAACCTGGATTTGGGCCAGATGTGGTAATTTTTAATTGTAAACCCTTCAAAACAACCAAAAACTACCATATCTGGCCCAAACCCATGGTTCTGGGCCCAGAA